TGGAGAAGGTTCTGTGAGGACGTGTGTGGTCTGGAGAAGGTTGTGTGGAGACAAGGACCAATGTGTGGGTCCGGGATGATTCTGTGGGGCCGTGTTTGGAGAAGGCTCTGTGGGAATGGCCTCATCCAAGCTCGGGGAAGGGAGGGAGAGGCGTGCCCGCCCTGAGCGCTGTCCTGCCCGCGCAGAGGGCCGCGTGGCGGAGGAGGCCGAGGAGGTGTTCCGGAGCTACGCCTTCTACCGCTACCAGCAGGAGCGCGAGGAGCGCGGGGCCGAGCTGCCGCGCGACCCCGAGATCGAGCAGATCCAGCAGGACCCGTGCAGGTAAATCCGTGCCCTGCCCCTCGCCCGCCGCGCTGCCCGGCCCGGCCTGACGCCCTGCCCGCCCCGCAGCACCGAGAGCCAGGTGGGGCAGCGCCTGGCCATCATCGGCGACGACATCTACAAGCGCTACGACGCCGAGTTCCGCACCATGCTGGGGAGCCTGCAGCCCACCCGCGACAACGCCTACGAGCACTTCACCAGAATTGCCTCCAGGTAAAGCCTCAGGAGCTCCTGGCGTGGGCTGGGGGTTTTCCCTGGAGGAGAAGGGAAGGGGAGGTCGGGTGTGCTCAGTGCTGTTGGTTAAACCCGCTCTGTCCATTTGATTTCGCTCTCCGGCCCTGGCCGAGCTCCCAGCGAGCTGCCCAGGATGGTTCCTGTGTCTTCTGCCTGGTTGCTTCTCCTCTGCACACTGCTCCTGTCATTGTCCCTTCCCGGTCCTTGCCCAGCTGTGTGTAGGTGACACGCAGACGGGCTGGGCTCTGTCAGGGGATGTCCCTGGGACCCCTGTCCCAACCCCCTCAGGGGCACAACCAGCTCCTGCTGTGCCCTGCTCCAGGCTGGGACGTGCCAGGGAACAACCCCAGCCACAGCTCCACATCTGGAGGTGGGATGGTCACAGAGAAAATGGAATCGTGGAATGGTTGGGCCGGGAGGAACCCTGAAGGTCATCTCAGAGCAACCCCCGCCATGGGCAGGAGGCCACACACGGGATGAGGTGGCTCAGAGCTGCCACCCAGCCTGGTCCTCATGGACACATCGGTATGGGGGCTGCCCCACGGGCTGGCAGAGCCTGGAGGTGACACACAGAGCCTGGAGGTGACACACAGAGCCTGGAGGTGACACACAGAGCCTGGAGGTGACACACAGAGCCTGGAGGTGACACACAGATCCTCGTGTAGGTGACACACAGAGCCTGCAGGTGACACACAGAGCCTGGAGGTGACACAGAGCCTGCAGGTGACACACAGAGCCTGCAGGTGACACACAGATCCTCGTGTAGGTGACACACAGAGCCTGCAGGTGACACAGAGCCTGGAGATGACACACAGAGCCTGGAGGTGACACACAGAGCCTGCAGGTGACACAGAGCCTGCAGGTGACACACAGAGCCTGGTACAGGTGACACACAGAGCCTCCAGGTGACACAGAGCCTGCAGGTGACACACAGCCTCCTGCAGGTGACAGCCACCCAAAGCACAGTGCCAGGTGAGGAGTGAGGGCACAGACCCAGAAAACTCCTGCCAGGATTTCCCAGGGAAGCTTGGATCGAGGTGGGATCGAGGGGTTCTGTCTGCAGGGAAATGTCCAGCCATGCCAGGCAGCCCCTGGCACAGGCAGGATGGGTCTCTGCGCTCCTGCCCCTCCTCCAAACACCCCTGGCTGTGACAGCCCTGTCCCTGTGCCCTTTGCTCGTGTCTAATTCCTTCTTTGCTCCAGTGTTTAACTCCTTCCTTTCTGTCCTTTTCCTGCTCCCCTGTCTGGGAAGCTGCGCTGGCTGAGGCGGCAGCACACGCAGGTAAATTAACCCCTGTCCCTGTCCCACTCAGGTAAATTAATTTGACCCCTGTCCCTGTCACACTCAGGTAAATTAA